ATGGAAATCTAGCATTCATTATTATAAATCTTCTACTTATGAATAAAATCGCTATTTGGCCTAGTTGGAAATTGAATGCTACAGTAAAATAACATTTATCTTCCAAACTAATATAATATTCAGGCAACGATGCTGATTGCTATGGAAATTGTAATTTTCCCAATTGAATTAAGATCTTTTAAACATTAAGAACATAAATGTTTCCCTCTACAAGAATTGAGAAACTTGTGACCATTGCTGCTTATATGGTAGCATGCTCTTTAAAAAAAAACTTTAAATCTAGACAAAATGGCTATCCTGTTGATTTGTAGGATTGAAGTACTGTATATCCTTTTGGAGATATGTACTGTTCCTGAATTCTCAAGTTCTTTCAGTCTTAGCTGTTTTTTGATATTCAGCCATGACAAAGAATAGCCTTCTGTAACTACTGAAACAATTGTTTCTTTCTGAAACAATTTCTGTCATGTTGTTTTTTTTTAAAATTGAAAAATGTGTTGGCTGGAATACTGAGTACTGCAGCTACTGAAAACATATTTTCATGTTGAAAATCCTGCACTGACTACTAATGTTTTTCTGAATATGCTTCAAAGTCTAAGTGTGTACAGTACAAAATACTATGTACTGTACTTTTAGAGTCTTAGTGGTTAAATCCTAAATATCTGAAAGACCATCTATGTTTTATTTTATGTTGCTTTTTATTTTAGGATCCTATGTAATTGTAAGAAAAGTGGGATTAAATCAAGTAAGTAATAGACATTTACATAATAAAGGTCCAAGTTTTTGAATAAAATAAAATAAAATGCTAATGATGCAAATTAGCAATGTTTATTCTAAATTTGGTTTTGGGGCAAAGATTACACTAAAATGGGTTTATTTACAACATTCAGTTCTTTGGATTAAGAATACAAAATAAACTACAACCAAATGCTTTTCACCTTCACATATTGCTACAACCCATACATAGTAGCTTTAAAAAGCATCATTTATAAGCAATCATCAAAAAAAATCACACATACTTATAAATACATACACATAACATTGAAATATCTACCGATGCACTCCAGTATGATAATACAAGCTAAAAAATAAAAAATTCAATAAAAGATCATGATGCATATTGGTAAGTACAATAAAAATGATAACTATTAGAATTACTGTTCCTAATTCAGTGTTGTGTGGTATAACTGAAGACTTCACTCAGTACGTTTCATGAGGTTAGCTGCCCTCTAACCTGTAGTATTTCTTTAAATATTCAGAAAATAATTAGTTGAGAAAAGTGTGGGTATTTTTAGTGTTCTATTGTTCAGCTAAATCCTTCTATAACGTAGGAAATTTATAAAGGATAAATTTTGTATCAGAAAATGAAAGGTAGCTTGGTCTACCTTCATGTAACGCAAGATGGCTAACTCCCTCTTGTAAATTTTCCATGAGTTTTAAACATGATGGGATACATGACGATGCAGTGAAATAGAATATGCTAGAATAAAGATGGACAGCTTTCCAAGAATTGAAGATTGCTGCACTCTTCCTTGATCAGCTACAAGATTGCTTGGGATCTCACAGGAAGTGATAGATTTCTAGTCATTTGGGCAGATTAATAGAGTTTAACTCCTAGAGGCCTTCTGCTTCCACTTGGTGTTTATTTAGAAATGGTATTTTGAAACAAAACAAAAATCATACAAAAATCATGCTATCAACATAGTCACATTTGTTGGGCTTTTGAAAATGGGATGAAGAGTCACATGAGGCATGTATACTGTCCAGCCCTATGCTAAATTTTCAGGAAGGTGCTCATCTCAAATATAGGTGGAATCTTTTAAGAACTAGGTAACAATGCATTTTAAAGTATTTCCAGGAATGCGTAAGAACCAAATACTGCATCCACATAATTCAGTGACCAATACATTTTCTAAGTTAGTCTACTTTTAAAATATTGCAAGCACAAAAATATTTTGTTTAATATTAGCATGCTGCTGCCTGGATTCCAACCATTTTGGAATCCTTCACAAATGAAAGAACTTCCTTAACAAAGATCAAGCAATCTGTGAAGGATGGAGGTTCAAATGGAGGGTCAGTCTCTACAGTGAGTAATTCATTTTCACATAACAGGAAAACTGCAATTAGCAGCAGATTCTTAATACCAAATGGGGCAATAAATAAAACTGAATATGATGGACTGTCTTTGGAATAATTTGTGCAGCACATACATTTTGTGGGGCATATAAATTGCATGGACATAACTGAAATTTATATTAAGCATGCACACTTATCTACTGAACTATTATTGTGTACAGTCATCTCTGCATTTGACACAACTATTTGTTTCAATTTTAATGTAAACAGAAAAAAGCGTGCAAAAATCAAAAGCACAAGCAAGTTGCTTGTTCCACAGCTATAAAAAGCCAAGTACAGAATATTACAGAATAGTACAGCTTTAAATACATATTAAATATGTATCTTGGAAATAGTAACACAAAACATTTTTACTTACAGTATAAAGCCAACACAAAAAATGCAATGACATCTGGTTTGCAATTATTCAATCTACAAAAACTCAATATACATTAGATATTAACAATGGTTCCCATTACAAAAAATGGAACCTTGTGAAAATAATTCTAGGTATATTTGAATAAAAGTCACCTGCTTTATTTTCCCCTCAGATTAGTTGCATGGACTTTTTAAATATAGAATCAAGGATAAATTTATTGCGGTATTACTTCATCATTATATTTTACTTTTTTATTACACTGTTCACTTTTTGCACATGGTACAATTGTATATATAGGAATGAAAAGGCCAAAGAAAAATGCTTTCTTTTCCGAAGAATAAAGTTAGCAGGATATCTGATTAAGCATACAGAATCCACAAGTCTGATTAAGTAACATGACAAGATTTTGCAAAGCACTGGAAAGAAATGCATAATAAATCATTGGCCTGAGTGAATTAGGCCCCTTCAAAGCTGAATGCTTTGAAGGGGCCTATGCCTTCCAGAGAGGTTGCATGCTGTATCCCAGCTGCCTGAGTGAGCATGTTGCATATCCAGATACTTCATCTGGGACCTACTAACAAAACAAAGCAGCTGTGCATGCACACAGAAGTGGAAATGGCTTTTGAAGCAATGACTTACAAAAGAATTCTTTAAGGTAAAGAGGTCTTTCCCTTGAGCTACTGAGTTTTTAGAGAAGGGCCTTAGAAATGCTGTGCTACAAAAGTAGAGCTACATATGGCTTTTATAGATACGAATCTATGGTGTAGGACAACTGTTATTAAATAATGGACAACTGTTTCTATATTCATAGCTGAACTGTAATCACATTAAGATTCAAACGTAATACACAAGGCTGCACAGAGATCCAGATTTGATGGGTTAGATGTGTTTTGGAGTACACATCTTTTTCTAAAGACTCATCATACCAGCTTGATGCAGTTATTCTGAGAGGTGCTGTATGTACACACTTGTGTGTACTCCAAATCATATTTAGCTCTTTTGAATCCAGCTCTCTATATAGTTCTATAATACAGGTAGTCCTCGACTTATGACCATTGAACCCCAAATTTCTATTACCAAGCAAGACAAGTGAATTTTGCTCTATTTTACAACATTTCTTGTCACAATTGTAAAGTGAATCATTGCAGTTGTATTAGTAACATGGTTGTTAAGAAAGTCTGGCTTCCCCATTGACTTTGTCACATTGCAAAAGTTGATTACATGACCCTGGGACACAGCAACCATCATAAATACAAATCAGTTGCCAAGCATCTGAATTTTGATCATGTGATCATAGGGATGCTACAACAGACTTTAAGCGTCAAAAGCGATCATAAATCACTTTTTTCAGTGCTGTTGTAACGTTAAATAGCCCCTATATCAGGGGTGTCAAACTGGGCCGGTTGCATCACATGCTGGCCACGCCCAGGGGAAAAAAGTCATACATCATGTGATGCCGCCATGATTACTTATTTGAAACCCCTGCTCTAGATGAACAGCATCAAAATGCAGGCCAGTGATTGTAGTTATAGGGAAAAAATCCAGTATATTGTAATAAACCAAGTAAACTATAGATTATATACCTGTAGTGATTCTTACTGAAATATGTAAATTTCTAGATAGGTGATTTTTTCCCCCCTGCCTCTGTTCCCCTTTGAACGGATTTAAGTAAAACAGTTAGCATGCAAAATTAAAGTAGAAATAACCAAAATGTAAAATAGGGCAAATTTCCTGTAGATGGCAAGCAAGATTTATTTGGCATGATCTATCAAGATGTATAACAAGTGACATGCATTGTTTGACATTTTCAAACAGATATTTGCAAGTTGATTCATTCAGAAGTATAAACAGGAATCTTTTGAAGTTAATTATTATCAAATATGATTCAAACAGTAGTTTTAGGATGCTTTAAGGGGGGGGAATAGTTTCACTATAGCTGAAAATAAGCAAGCAAACATGCCAAGGAGTACACATACTATTACTATACCGTATCTACTAAGTATGCCTCATTTTTAAATGGAACTTTTCCAAAATAGGTGCCAAGAAAGATACTAAGTTTCATCTAGATGGTTCAGCCATTTTAACTTTGTACATTCAAAATATGAATTCTTTCACATTGTTTTAACAAAAATCTGCCAAGTGATATATTTCATGCAAAAGTAGCAATTTTGATGGTCAAGGGTCACACTAAAATGGATTTTGTAGGATAAAGGAATAAAGGGTTACAAAGCAGGAGAACATTTCTCATATTTGGACAAGAGGATGTTTTAAGGGAATTCAAGGAGTTCCTAATTTTGATAGGACTTGCTATACAAAACTCCATAGTTTTTGTTTGTCGTTTCCCTTGAAATGGCAGGAAAAAATGCTGTCATTTTTCATATATAATAGCCAGTTTTATGGCTGCAAAAGGAGATTCAACGGCAATAGGTTGACCAGTCTCCCTTAATGTATTATTATTTTACTCGTGAAATGGAGTGCATTTATTTTCACTAACAGAATAGCTTCCCAATGAAATCAAGAGGGGGAACAACCCCTTTGATTTCAATAAAAATCTATTCTTGTCCCACTGCTGTAACAAAAAACTTACCTGGATTTCTCTAATCACAGAAACCAAATTCATTGAACTGTTAATTCATATATTATTGAAAAATTACAACATGTATAATCTACTGCACAGCAGCACAAATGCTTCCAATAATGAAAGTACTGTATAGCCAATGCTAAAAGTATTTAAAGGCACCTACTGCAAACACAAGAGTATCTATGAGAAAGCACTCAGTAAATAATTAATTTGGAGCCATATCCTTATTAAAACATTTGATGAATGTACACTTATATAAGATTCCAAGGCACCAGAAATGTCACATAGTATATAATAACTGCTTAAAAATCAATTTAATCAGGCATATTTTTCAGGCACACTTTGACTCAGTTCCTGATAAAGTTAAATGTTAGTATATATGGGAGATTAACATTTATAGTCTAGTCAAGCAAATGTATGTTGGCTGAACATATCAGATATAAAAATGGTGATGTAAAAAGAATATACATAACTTACCTATGTCAGAATGTCCAAGAAAATTTCATAATATTCACAGCAGTGTAATAATTATATGGAAAATATTCAGGAAGCAAACAATAGTGTACAAAACGGCATAATGAATTTTCCTTGTAAAACATGTTCTTGTACTGTAAATGTTTATCGTACAACTACTGATCACAGCAATACACAACACAAAAGTGCTGGTAACAGGTATACTTATTTTCACAGCTAGAAATCATGTTTTAATATGCATTTTCTACACTAAAATATGTCAAATTTATTCAAGTTGTACAGGGTATGCTACAGGAAAAAAACAGAATTCAGAAAATGATCCATGTCACAGAGAGATGTTACCTGGAAAAATATTAATAACAGGTACATGACAGTTGTTTTTATTCTTTAATAGAAGACAATGATTAATCAACTGCTTGTACATTGGTTCTACTGTATCTTAAACAAAAGCTCCTTACTATTGAATTTTTTGAAATCTAAAGTTGTTATTTACCAATTTGGGACCAATACTGAAACCCAATATAGTGAGTGGCAGAATTTAATCCTAATTAAAGTCCTTTGGGCTCCTGATGGACAACTATGATGTGATCTTTACTATACTTAATTTCAGATGGAAATTCTGAAGATTTAAAAAGTAACTAAGATGTTTTAAGGTCTCATTTAGAAATAAAATGAAAAATAGTCACATACCACATACTAAAAAAAAAAAGAAACACCTCTTTAACAGTGATTTTTTTTATATAGATGGACCTAAATATTTTTAATATTCTTTATGATTCTTTCATGATGATGCAAAGCAACATTGGTGTATATTATTTTCAAATATTTTAAAAATTATTCTAATAATGGTACTATAAATTCAAAGTGAAAGAAAATAAAGGGCAACATATTACTTAAACCATTTACACATAAATCATATATAAACTTAATTTTTCACATTGACAGTAAACAGTACTTATCACATTGAAAATATGAAAAATGCAGGTAAAACTATTTGAAATAAACTTGAAAAAATACAATATGGACATGAGCATGATCTATTTAGTAACATCAACTGTTAATGATTTCAGAGGAAGTTAAAAATCATAATTATGGGAAATATGTAACAATCAAGATTTTAAACACAACAGTGTTTCTTTCCAGATGACACTTTGGAAAAGGCTGCTTTCCTGCCCTACAAATTCTGACAGTAATATGAGCCTGATTTCTTACTCAAAAATTCTTCTTATCATTGTATCGGTGAATAGTCACACAGCCATGGTATGATACTGGTCTTGGCATGGCAGCTACTCCAGTAATGATACTTGTTGCAGGGTCATAACAAAGAATAGTATCTGTGGCTTCTCCATTTTCTCTTCTCCCACCAAGGATATAGATTTTCCCATTACAGACAGACATGCCACAGTTTTCCTGATCATCAGATCAAAAAGAGAAAAGAGTAAAATTATATTACAATAATTGTTTTGCTAGAAATGTACCAAATTATTCTTTTGTAAATTTATTTTCTTAAGCTTGGGCTTTGTATATATTCCTTGTCAATAAACTTTTGCATCATGTTTTCTGAGAAGTATTTCTGCCTCTTATAGATATCAACATGGGCAAATTCTAAATCAATCAATTTTTTAATGAAAATCCTTAAGTATCAAGCTCAGTCCAAATATGGTTTCTGCAAACTTCCAGGACAGTACCATCCTAATACTTTCCAGATACTTCAAGTAGTCTTATGCTGAATTATATCTTTAAATCAAACTTTCCCATTTTGTGCCCTCCAAATATATTACACTTCCGTAATTTCTCATCAAAATTCTGATGTTAGCCAATTAATCCAATATATTTGGAGAGATCTATATTGGAAAAACCTGCTTGCTTCTGTAAGTACACCAAGATGAAAAAAATCACTTTGTTATTTGGAGTAAAAGCCCAATGCTCCAGTATCAATTTCATAAAAAACAAACTTGTAGAAATAAAAAGCTTTCCTAATTTTGCACTTAAATCATTTTATGTTAACATATCATTACTTGTACATATGAGCATTTTTAGTTCTTAGATGTTACCTGTCTACTAAATGTGTTCTGCACATGCATCCAATAATCTTCAACCGGATCATAGCAATATATCGCTTTTGTGAGTCCCCCAGCAACATAAATGAGATTGTTTAATGATACAGCTGTAATACATCTCTTCGCAATGGGGATTGTTGCCCGAAGGAGCCAAGAATTAGTATCAGGATCATACGACTGAACCTTAAGAGAAGGAAATACAGGTTGGTTTTTAGCACATTTTTGGTATATTATATAGTGCTTATAAATTCTTCTTTCTTTGATTTTTAACATCATTTACTAAGTGATGTAATAAACGATCAGCAAATCAAAGATTATTCTTCATTTACCATAAGACATTATAAAATTTGCATACTTTCTTTTTGACTTAGTTTAGCAAGTATAATTGCTAAAAATAAAAGATGTACTTGAAAGTCGTAATGAATCAGTTTAGCCTGAGAAGAATGAGATTTGCCTTTCCCTGGGTTTGTACATGTTCCTATCACCTTCTCTAGCAAGCTTTTTAAAAAAAATCATTGCTATTCAGTATGTTATCTGGATTCAACATAGTTAAACTTATGGTTTAAAATACATTTTAAAATACAAACTTGAAAGCAAGTCAGTTTATAGTTTATAGTTTATTTATTTGTATGCCGCCCTTTTCCCTGGGGGGACTCAGGGCGGCTCACAATCAAAAGGAAGGGGGGGACAGACTTTTACATATAAGACAGTACATGATTAAAACGCAACATTCATACCATTCGGGCGGGTTACAATCTTTAGCCCCAGGCCTGACGGGATAGCCAGATTCTAAGGGCTGTGCGGAAGGTCTGGAGGGTGGTGAGGGTACAGCATATGATAACAGAATTTCCTTAATTTGTGAAATTCTGCAAGGGAAATATTTGGGGGATAGGGGTGAGGGGGGGTCTGTCTCTCTCTGTCGCGCGCTCTCTCTCTCTGTCTCTCTCCCGCCTCTCTCACAGCATAAATATTGAACCACAGCATAAGTCTGCCTTGGCAACTCCCCCCCCACCCCAAGTCATAATGCTGCCTTTACCTAATCTTCGCCTAAGAGTAAAATAGTAAAAAAAGTTCTTCTTAGTTGTTGTACTCCTGTTAAAAAGAAATTCTCTTTAAACCAGCAACATTTAATGACAGTTGCAAAATGTGTAAAACAAATTATTTTATATAATAATTCAAAAATTCAAAATAAGTCTCAGCAAAACAAAATTTTAACTACGAGTTGAATATTCTTTGGAATAAACAGCCAATAAACATCATGATTAAAATTTTGATTTTAGAACGTTACAAACATTTGAAATAAGAGTTTGAAATTTATTATAAAGAATCCCTCCTGTAAGAAAATGCTTTTTTTAAAGTAAGATTTTAAAAATTGGACACTAAAGGTAAGTAAACATTATAATTAAAAAGGAACAGCCTTGATTTACAATTACAGAATGTAGCAAAATAGTCTTAACACATTATTTTGAAAAATGGACTCAGAAATTCATAGTGTTATCAGAGACATCTGACTCTATGGAAGGACTGTGACTAAAAGATGTTATGGAAGAGGAACAGGTTTTACAAGACAAGACTGAATCCGAGTTGAAGGTCGATTTACAAATGTCATTCTTGACATGGAAAACTCCACATACAAAGGAAATGGCTGATGTTTAATAATTAAATAGGATATGCAAATAATAAACCAAGAGGGTAACCTGGATAATTTTCCTATTTGGATGGGACAGGCTTGTTTTGAAGAATTTTGTGAGAAAGGTCAAAGAAAAAAAAAGAGAACTTTTGCAACATTATTTGAATAAATATTAAGATTATTAGAAGTCACAGGAAGGAATACAAAATTATAAAATATAAAGCTCTGTGGCACATACTGTCCCGCTGGGGTGAGGTTTGCTCCCATCTTTCTATCATTCCACAAGGGCGTGAACACTTGGCTCTCCCAGTTAGCCCGGAGTTAACAGGGGACTACCACATTGGAGGCTGCATTTCCTGCTTCGCCTCTGCCCATCTTTTAATTCATATTGTTATAGATTGTTAATGTTTATTGTTATTGTTTCATTGCTTTGCTATTATGTTTACATGTTTTATCATTTTCTCAATTTTTATGCTGTAAACTGCCCACCAAGATGGGCAGTTAATAAATTTAACAAATAAATAAAGTTGGTTTATTGACCAAGGTTAAAGTAGATATATTGCTATTTCTGGTATCCTTTAATGGACTTTTGCTGACACCAGGCCTAAAATGACCATAATTTATTTATTTATAGAGAAGAGATATATATGAAAGAATAATTTGTTACCTTTGAAGAGAAACTGATAAGTTGCTAAAATTGTTTACATTTGTGAAAAATGTGGGGAGTAGCTTCTTTATGTATTTCTCTTCTTTTTTAAAACTATATTCTTACTTTTATTTTTCTATCTTTTCTGCACCTTCTACTCTTTCTTTTTATTCTTCTATCTTTGTTTTTTCTTAATTTTCCTGTTATAGCAATAGCACTTAAACTTATATGCTTTACAGCCCTCTCTAAGTAGTTTACAGTGTCAGCATATTGCCCCCAACAATCTGGGTCTTCATTTTACCAACCTTGGAAGAATGGAAGGCTGAATCAATCTTGAGCTGGTGAAACTCGAACTGCTGACAGCCGGCAATCAGCAGTAGTAGTCTGCAGTTCAGCATTCTAACCACTGCACCACCATGGCTCATTATAATTATAATTATAATCTTTAATAAAATTAAAAAGTATGTGTGGTAAAAAAAGTCAAGAATGAATTATGATGATTGATTATGGATTTTATTCACAAATGAGAAACCACTAGGACAGAAGTAGATACAGATGATCTGGTTATCCAAGTGAAAAAATGAAGATTGAATCAGAAAAAAAAAGAAAAGAAAAAATGAATGAGCTGAGAAAAAGGGAAAGATTAAAAAAGTCAGATGGCAGTAGTGAGTTCTTGAAAAAGACAACAGAGAAATTTAAACAGAAAAGAAAGATATGAAGTGATGCATGGACGAGAGAGCAAAAATGCTTTCAAGGATAGAAATGTATGGAAAATATGATATAGTATTAGCTCTATTTTTATTTTGTTATTTCATAGTTTTAATTTCACTACCCTCTCATTATTTTTCTGCACTTTATACAGGGTTATTTACCTCTACAGCTGTACATACATAGTTTAAAAATACATTTTAAAATATTACTAATGTGAGAAAAGTATATCAAACCTTATCAGAGCATGTGTTATCATCTGGACCTCCACCAATCACAAACAGTTTGCCCACACAGCTGGTAACTGCTGGAGAACTGACAGCTTCTTTAAGTGAAGCTACTTCTGTCCATCGATTGGAAAAAGAATCATAACACTCCACACTACTCAGTCGATTTTGCCCATCATATCCTCCAACCACATACACCTGTTAGAATATGTAAAAAATGTTATCAGCATGTATTTATCCTCTAATATTTTTACACAAAAGTTACACAAAACCTGAAAGTCTTCAGATATGCCTCGACTTTTCAAAATCTTATGTAAGATTATTGTTCCTGGGCTGCAAAATCCACATAATCTGTGGCTGCTAACATTTAAGGACTTATTTGTATTTCCATGCTACTATCTTATGTTTGATTGAATTTTTGCAGCCCAAAAAAGACATCCCAGTTTAAGATTTGAAATGCACCCAAATGCATAAAAACTGGCAATTGAGAGCATATTATGATTATTACTTTTAATGGTTTTATTCTCTCCCTCCCCACCTCTATTTAGTTTAACTGGTTCAGCATCTGGGTGATCTTTGTGACATCAGCCACAATACCTCCTTCTACCACCTAGTTTGGTTACAAAAGTTCTTCCCAGCTCAAACAAAGAAGCTTCAAATATCACATGTAATTGTACAGAATAATTTGCACAAGTTCCTAGTAAGTAAGTAAAACAAAAATAAACAAAAACATACTCCAGATTTTACTCACTTATAAATATGCATACATGCAACCTCCAAAATAACAACTATGTATTTTTTAAAATTGGAAATAAGGAAAAGACTAGCAACAACTCTAAATGGGTAGCGCACATGCTTTGTATGCAAATAATCCAAATTTTGAATATTAACATTTCCAAGTAAAACTGAGGAATCTGCTGACTGAAATGCTAAGATACTATTAAACAGTTTGTCCTAATATAGATAAGGAACAACATTTTATCACGATAAAATTAAAATTCATTTCTCACTATAGATGCAAACTTTGCATTATGACCCCACATTTTGTATCATCTGTTCTCATTATTCAGACAAGCCAGAAGTACCCAACAAGACACATAAATAAACATTTATAACTATTGGCAAAAGCTCCCATTTTCTCCCTTCAGATTTATTCCACTTATAACAGCGGATGATTTTCTATCAAGCTAAAATAACGTGAGGGGAAAACTACTAATTGAAAAAAAAATGACACATGGTTTAACAGCAGGGTTCATATGATTCTTTGGATAAGATCGGGCCAAACACATACTTCAGATTTAATGATATTGAATTTTAAATAGAAGAAACAGCTTGGCATTAGAAAGCACGGCCAAGATATCAAAGAGTTTGGGGAAAGTGGTCAGTTTTTCTCCAAATGAGCTAAATAGTTTGAAATAGATCTATACTAGTCTCCCTTTATTTATTTATCAGCACAAATACAACATATGTATACACACACACACACACACACACAATTTTTTTAAATTTGGGGAAAAACTGACCACTTTCCCCAAACTCTTTGATATATGGATGTGGATCCCAGGACATAAAAGGATGTTATTTTATTGTTTTGTTAATAAGGACATTCTTAATGCCTATCTTACTCCTGCTTCATCAATAACTAGAAAGAACATGCAATACTTCACATGACTTCAAATTCTCTTCAACTTGGACTATATCAAATATTGTGCAGCAGGAGAAAACAGAAAACATGAAGCACAAATTTATTCCAATATTTATAACTTCATTTACTTGCTGACTATCTTGACATTATTCAATATGTTGTTTTATTTCATTATCTTTAGCAATATTTTCTGTTTCTGCCCTTTGCCTATTAAAAAGTGTATCTCTCTCTCTCTCTCTCCCTCCCTCCCTCCCTCTATCATAATAGGCTGCTTGTTATAAATAAAAAAGGCCTGACATTGAGAAATCCTTTCTATGGCAACTGTACATCAAATGTAATGTATACAGTATATCAACAAATCCAAATGTTAAAATGACATGTTTCAACAGCAAACCTCACCTTTAAGACAGAATTCAATGTAATTTTGGGTTAGTGTTTTATTACAACCATACTTCAGAAGCTAAGTATCTCTAATAAAGATACCTTACCTTTCCAAGAAGGACTGCCATTTTATGACGCCACCTCCCTTTATTTAGAGAAGCGACTCTGATCCAAATATTAAGTTGAGAATTATAAATCCACACATCACGGCTATTGATTCTCCCACCTTATTGAAAAAAATAGAATTTATTATTATTATATAAGTATTGTCACTGTTGGGTCTCATTGTGGAAAATGCATTACTATGTTACAGGTAGAAGTGTATAAATTTTTTTTTCTGAGTGTCAAATGTTTGACATTTGAAATGCTCTGTGATGAATCCGAAATGGTTCTTTCAAGCTAGATATGTTGCTTTGACCATTTTGGAAATATTTCAGGTTCAAAAAAGCTTAAAACATCTGTTTTGAATACAAAATGCTGCCACAGTATTCAAAATGACTACCTCAAATTCAAAATGTTTCAGTGTGAAATGCTTTGCAAACCTCTAGTTTATACAACTAAAAATAAAATGCAGAACAATCATATACTTTCAAAACTTCTTGATTATAGAGTAATGGATATAAACCTTTTCTCATCGAAGAACATTTTCTGGAATGATATTTCAGTGGAAACCAGACCAGATATACAGGTTCTCACAATAAAATTGGACATTCCCTATAATTGAAATCAACATATATAAATGAAGATGACTTTTCAGAGTTATTCAGAAATGGACAAATAAGTCTTCTCTATGTTCACTTTATTGGGCTGCGGCAAATTGGTCGTGATGGTAGCAAATGGGCGGCAGCGACAGGCAGATTTTTTTTTTCATTTTCCTCCTTTAAAGCTAATGTGTATTTTATAGTCCAGAGCATCTTATAGTCCAAAAAATACGGTAATTAAAAAAATATATTCTTTAAAATAACATATTTTTTTCTATTACACCTCCCCCCAACAAATAATATAAAATTATTACCTGAAACAAGGATGTCATTCCTCAAAGCACAAACTGCATACTCAGATTTTGTAAATTCTGGTAATTTTGCCAGGGATTTCCACTCTCCTGTCATTGGGTCATAACATTCTGTATATGGCAAATTAAATCCCCCAACACGCTCACAACCTCCAACAACAACTATAACTTCAGAGTAGCCAGTTGATCTATAAACACAAAATATATTTATACTTTAAAATTTTAGCAACAGTACTTAAAATTGACTGAAACATTATATTTAAGAACAGGATCTCAAAACTCTACATAATCTACATACATTTGAAAACAGTGTTAAGCAACCTGAAGATTTCCAGATATATACCTTTACTGACTGATAGTACTGGCTCAGTTCCTAAGTAAACAATTAGACAGAATGAATTTAAATCAGTATGTGAGTGAGAATAGAATTGAGCAACCAAGCACACCAGCTTGATTCCTTCCACCAGTGACAATAGTGAACTAAACCTGTATGGTCCATCTAAGCTGGCACTCTAGATTTTTTTGACTGCAACTCACATAGGACAATATGAATAGCAAACAGCAATCATGAGATTTGTAGCCTGAATGATCAGGTTGCATACCCACCCACCCAGCTCCCCATTTTGCAAGATCTGCAAACCAGGATATATTAACTTGTTACACTCCTAATAATAAAGGGGCTGTCTTGATATATGATTTGATAAAAAGAACAAATAGATTTTTCAATTCACACATAACATCAGACAAACCAGAAAATATGTTCTAGGTCTACTTAGTTACTTCCTTCAGCATAGGGAATTAAGTGGTAGTGACTGAGCAGCATACACACTTGCTTTTTCCAATGTGCAAATCAAAATATAACGTTAATAGCCGAACAAAATTATTCTGGAATTCAACAGACAGCTACTCTGAAGATCATCTTACCTTCGTGGTCTAGTTCTTGAAGACATCATTTCATTTCCAAGGACATGGTACCTCCGTGCTTCATGTAACAATTGGTAACATTCAGGTGAGTTTTGAATCAACTGGTCTACTTCCACTGTCTGAACAAAGTAGTTAGGATGTAACAAAGGCAGTCTCACATGTGTGAGAATTTCTTGTAGAACTGAGCGCCTGGATTCCACAGTCCGGTAAACCCAGTGCATAACTGCTTCAAACACCATTTCTTCTTTGCTTATTACCAGTTCATCACTGCAAATGTAATCAATAAGTTCATCTTTTCCAAGCTCAAGAAATTCTTCATGCTGGGCCACATCCTCAAAATTTTGCAGTGCAAAAGTTTTGCATTTTGTAAAGAGTGTTTTCAGAGAGTGTGTATCAGCAAAACGTTGAATTCCTAGACAGTTACAAGGATCTAGTTGCTCTTCTAGAAACTTAGCACATGCATCGCGCAAAACACTTATTTGAAAGAGACTTGACGTTTCAAACAGGTACTGCACATTATCCGTGGTGATTTTTACTTTGCCTGTATATACATATTGTAAAAAGCAATCCATGGCTTCAGCAAAAATTCCATTAATTTCTACCAACATCTCCCGACTTTCTCTGTGATCATTGCAAAACATAGCTCTGAAGTAGCTGCTGCAAGCTGAAAGAACAGCACGATGACAAGGAAATTCTCTGCCTTCAACACAGATTATTACATCTGTGAACAAGCGACTGTCACGAAATTCATTGAAGATCTGAAGTATGCTTTCAGCATGGGATGAGCCAGAAGAAAAATCAAAGAACTCATGGCCTGATAAAGACTTTGGGTCCATTTCAAAAACTTTACGCTTGGTGACTGGGGATTCTTGGACCCGATTATCCCCTCTGTTCAATCTGCGCCCCAGTATTAGTACCATGGTTACATCAACTGTTCATGCAATCATGGAGAAGGGATGTAATGAATATCTTCTTGTTGCTAAAAATAGATATTTTAAAAATATTTCAGACTACAAAGGACATTAATACACTAAGTAAAAGATTGGTTCATCCATGCAATAGGACTATAGTCTTACTTAGTCAAAAGGAGCAAACTATTTCTCAAAACTAAACTCTTCTGTCTTAATGCTATTTTGCTAAACTAACCAATCCTGATATTTCTTTAGCACAGGAAAACTTTACAGAATACATTGAATGAATGAAAGACCTTTGAAGGGAGATTAAATACACAAGGAGGTGTTTTGGGGAGGGAGAATTGCTTGCAACTTCATCCTCACAAGCATCACTTTCACTTTAGCTATGAAGAGCTGTTTGCATATGCATTTAAGAACAATCAAAATGGGATATATAGAAGCTAGATGGAGACAGTTTTGTATCCAAACATCTCCATTCTCATACTGGACTCACTATTTAATGACACTTGTAATTTTTCTTTATGGATTTCTGGTAGGAAAACCGGGAGAGTGTCTAAGAAAACGTACAGAATTCTCTTGGAAAAAATACCTAGTTACTGACCACCCTGATCAGCATAAGCTAACGGGGCTTTAGCAATTACAAATAATTCATTTCAACCATATTTGGTATTGTAGAAAAAATATTAGCAATAGAATTAGTGAAGATACATGAGAAACATTTGTGTTGTAATATTTGAAGATTTTCTTAAGTAGGCTGTAGTGAATTTAGACATGAGTCCGGTGTGTTTTATACTCTGGAAAATATGGTAAACTGTGCTTACTTATTTGTCATTAAAACCATGAACTGAGGGAAAATAAATGAAATAGTAGTCCAGAATATTTTAGAAGCCTATAATTGGATTGTTGATGTATTAATGATCACTGGTAGCCATCCAACAATTGAGGCATGGTAGATAAGCATAAAGGGAAAGATCAAAAGTCTTTTCATTTAGTCCTATCCTCACCAACCCATGCAAATTGTAACAATTCTACTTAGGTTAACAAAAATTTATTCCTGTAATTTCAGAATTATCAAAATGTAAGTTCCTTCTCAGTTTAACACACTTGTTGCATTAACCTGAACACCACTAAATCTTGTGAATATGAAACAATGTGAATATGTTAGACATGGATGTTTTATTTCAGTAACCAACAGACTGAACTAGATAAGTGTGTTTCTTTCTGGAAGACATGATAACCATTACCCACAGTTGTAAAAATTTCATGAAGTTAAGAAAGCAAGTAATCTTTATTCAAAAGTTTTCTATCCTAAATGTGCCTTGACAGGGTTTAGACATAACACTTACCAATGATTTTTAAAACTATATTTATTGAATAAATGCTTGTGGTGATGCAAGCATATCTGGGTAGAAGATGACTTCCTTTTCCAAACCAGCTGTCCTGTACCTTTCAAGTAAGCATAATACTATTCCTGAAGTCATTGTATTGATTGCCAATAGATTTCTGGGCTTAATTCAGTTTGTTGATTGTTATATTTAAGACCCTTCATGACAAGGAAATTAATTTCAGTTTAATGATTATGGTAGAAAGAAAGTGGATAGCCTAAAACTAATTTTTAAATTACTTCACCACAGAATTAAAATAAATCTCACTTATCAATTCCATGCCTCTTTACCCCCACTGTAATTTTTTTTTAAATATTACTTTAGGTAGCTTGATTTTACCTATCAAATATTGCACAGAATTAGTACAGTTCTCTTATAATCATTAACGAGATTAGGTAAAATTACAAGAACAAAAGATGTTTACTTCCTTTAAGTTTGTCTAATTCTACTTCGTCATATTCATATCAAGTTAGCCCTGGAATTCTGATCCTTTCTTTCCTGGGATATAAATTTGAAATTACCTCCTTAAATTATAACTCCTTAAGAGGAAGCAATTGTATTTTTTTCTTTGTTGATCTAAAAAAGAAAAAAAAAGTAGTCTTTTTCCAATAGTGCTCAACTCCTGTGACTTCATGGACATGCAGTGGTTTTCTTGGTATCAAAGCTTTAGTGAGTTCTTGCCTCACTACAGCTTTTTTCAGCACCCCAGTCTAATCTATAGTGTTAGCATATCCCATTGGTTTCTCATCCAAACACTGAACAGATTAATTATGAAAACTGGTATTATATAAAATAACGGATAATAACTAGTGCAATATTTACTGCTGTGCATTTTACCATGAGTCAAATTAAATAATTGATAGGTAGTCTGAAGTAGTGGTTAAGGCATCTGATTAAAAACCAGGAAACAATGAGATTTAGTCCTGCCTCAGGCATGAAAATCAGCTGAATGATTTTGGGCCAGTGACTCACCTAACAGAGTGGTTGTGTGTGTGGGGGGGATAAGATGAGAAAGAAATATTAGATATGTTTGCTGCCTTGAGTTTTTTTTTTAATAAAAATAATAAAGGCAGGATAAAAAATATCTAAAAAAATAAAGATAATTTATGCCAACTATAAAAAATGTACATTTTTTACAATTTCAACTGGAGAGCCAGTCTTATGTAGTGGTCAAAGCATGGGGCTAGAAACTGTGGGATTGTGAACTCTACTCTCACCTTGGGAACTAGGTGATTTTGCCAGTCACTTTTTCTCAATCCTGGAAAGAAGGGAGGCAAACAACTTCTGAAAAACCTTGCCAAAAAACCCTGCAGCGACTCATCCACTCAGTCTGAGAAACTGACATGATTGAATGGAAGGAAAAAATATATACCTATGTTTTATAATATAAAGCTTTGCTACTTTTATACTATTTGGGGAAAGCAGGTTCATATTCTGTTGGTTTGCATGAAGCTTCCAAGATTACTTTAATTGAAGTTTATAAAAACTTTATGCAGGAAGCCCAGCTGCAACAATTCTACGGCAATTCAATGTATTATTTAAAGAGATTTCCAAAACCAAACAGCGGACGTCAAGTCACCAGACGCTCTTTTCCTAAAAAGAACAAGTCAGGCTCATATACAGGGTTTCCGCCTTACAAAATTATAGCTCTGCACACGGTAGGTAAACTGTGTAAGTGGACCCACGAATAGTTTCGGGATGTCTTCGACGCCATTAAGTTACACTTTTGTGTTGGTGTTTCTAAGGCTTGATAACTGCAATTCCACGTTGTTTCCCTGCGGGCCATCTGGAAAGAGGCTCAGGTTGCCAGAAAGCTAGGGGCATTTGAGTTTATAAAAAAACCTTTCGCGGTTACGCCAACACTCCGCTGACCTAACAGACGAAGTTCTTAGAAACCTTAAACGGCACAGGACCGTCTCGTAACTCCAATCAGCGCCACCAGCTGTTACACAACTGGCCTCGAGTCGAACCCGAACAGCCGCTAGGCGAGCTCGCACGAACACAAGCACATCCTACAATTCACCTTCACCCGAACAGAGCAGGCAACAAGACCCGCCTCCCCGCATTTTATGTCCAATTAGAGAATGCGATTTTTCAAGCAGCTCACTTCTTCCTTCGTCTTCAGCTGGGGTGCGCTCCAATCAGCAGCGACCTTTCCTTCAGTTCTCAAGATGGAGAAGGAAGCTGCGATATCTTGGGGAGGGAGAATCAACTTGGAAAAGACTCGTTTGGACGGGTGCCCACTTTTCATCCTCTCCTTTTTTAGCCTTTTTCTTTTCTTTTTCCTCTTAGTAGTTATGCCTAACTCCTTTAAAAAAATGCCGACGGCCTAAAGGTTTTTTAAGAGATTTCTGTCCACCTTTCCGGAAAAAATGGTCTAGCCCAGTGGAGTACCAGCCAACAGCCACTGCGCCAAACGCCTCAAGAGGGACGGGGGGGGGAGGGGGGATTCTACGCACCGGGAGATTGATCTCCCGGGAATCTGTCGTTGAGCACGGGAAAGGACAACAACACAGATCGCTTCTTATAGGCTGTGCATTTGCCACTAAACGTAGAAGGGCCACCAAACGGAACTTCTAGTTACTGTAATGCAGTTGGGGGCGGGGGAAACAATGGGCGAACTTCCCGATGTTTTCAGAAATAAGCCAAATCTGCTGGCCAAAACTTTCTAATCGGTCCAAACAGAAATAGAAGTCCAAACCACTGGCTGAAGTATTTGGAAGCGAAAAAAGGAAGGGAAAAGACAAAATTAATACATGGTAGATCTATTAAGTTTCAAAATAGGAAAGATCCCCTAAAAGAAGACGCGATCTAGCCCTTTACAAGTCCCCGAAATCTGTGTCGCCAACAGTGTAAATCCACATTTAAGCATTTTAAAGAAGTGGTCGAGAAGGAAAGCCGCTTTGCGCGCCTCCCCCGCCACGCGTATTGTTTTCCACCTCTTGATGAATTCCACTTCCTTTCTCGATGCACAAACAAAGCGGTCAACAGCACTAACGGTGCTCTGATTTGGGCTATGTGCTTTTCTCGCTCTACCAACAGAAGAAAGAAATCAGCGCCAGTATCGTTTTCTCTGGCCACATAACAACATCAACGGATTTTCCCTCCTCCGTAATGGCAGATTTTACAAAGAATCCGTATGCATTTAAAACTCCCATCAAAATTGCCTTTAACACTTTTTCGCGAAAAGCGAAAGGATAGGGCAATGCTGGGGGTCATCTATTTTATCGTCAGGGAAGGAGTGTCAGCACTAAAATCAAGCTGTTCAAGATTAACGGCATTAACATTGTTGTTTTGAATGTGTTTCTGCTGGAATAGAAATGATCATCCGGCCCCCAATGACATTTTTGGCCTCGGGGAATTCAGCTGTTCTAAGCGGCTGAGTTCACAGTGAAGACATTTACCTGTCTGTCGCTTTTTCCTGGAATTAAAGAGTAGGTAGCAGCAAAGCCTCTTGCTTCCTTCTCCTTAGCCCGCTCGCTCTTTTTCGTCTTTATCAAGTTCGAGCTCAACTCTAAACAAAGAAGACCCCAAACATGTGACCGCTCAGAGTCAAAACAGATGATGTCACGCACTTACTAGCCAATCTCAGCAGGGCCGGCTGAAAGATGTCTTGGGAGATGTAGTTCTCTAATCGAATGGTTTGCGACGCAAATTTCATATGTCGTTGAAAGAACTAAATTTCTTTTTATAAACGGAGAGTTGCACAACTTTATTGCTGTGGAGGCGATACCGCGTGATGATTTCTGTATAGGCAGACAGTGGCAGCTTTAATTTCTTAAAGTTTGTTTTCATTGAACTATAAAAAAACTGCAGCACTACACAACAAAAAAGTACTGATTGTATAGTGAAGAAAGAAAATCTAACATAATGTAATGATTAAAATAAGCTAAAGAGTGTCCAAAGAAGAAAACTAATTAACAAAAAGTATCTAATAAGGATGAGGAAACAAAATAAATTCATTTCTTAACTTATTATTAAATCAACATCTGAGAGGCACATTGATCTTCATATTGTTAGAATAAAGAGACTTTAAAAAAAGATTAATTTATATTCTGGATCCTTAAATTCAAGCTTCTTTATATTTATATAAAATTAACCTTTTTTGTTGTATCACATGCTCTAGAGACAAAACTCTTCGTGAGGTGACAAATTTAATATCATTTATTATTTCTCCCCAATATTATATTGACATACACAATGATTTGAAACCAAAGCAAGTCTGTAGCTGGAGAAGAGTTAAAGAAACTTTAAATTTCTTATGCCAACATAAAAGTTTTTAATGTCTTCCCTTTTTAGCCATTTTTTTGAGAGTTAGGGTTAAACCATATTGCTTTACAACTTCAATAAGCTTTTTTAATGTATTGCATAATTATCAAGGATAGACATAATATCAGCATATAAGCACAATTTATAATCAGTGTTGAGCATCACTACATCCTTAATAGTTTGAGATGCTCTAACAAATGAGGTTGATGATTCATGAATCAAATTGGAGATTTATACAGGTAAGAGGCATCCTTGCTAGGTGCCATGGTTATATAAGATAATAGATGGAGAAATATATCAGTTCCTAATAACTCTACACAATTTACTGTAAAGCACCAGACTTGATCTTGTCCAAGCAATCACTAGAAGTCAATACTGATTCAAAGGCACAAAGTAAAACTGGGTAAAGACACAAAATTGTAATTCAGTAAACAAAAGATGGTGGAAATACCTATCTTCTTGGAAGCCACTTCATAAATTCAATCTGGATCAAATGGAAGTCTTTTTCAGCATCCAAAATATTAATCAGATGAATATTTTCAGAAACATGTCTTTTTTAAAAAAAGTGGATTATAAATGATATTACCTGCTAAAGCCTTCTCCTAAATGTTGTAGTTGCAGCGTGTATGTTTTGCCTTCTGGAGCCTTTGAATCATATGGAAAGTTTCGGCATCAGTACAAGGGATGATTTCAGGTAAAAAAAACAAAGGCAAGGAAATCTCCATGCAGTCTGAGGTCAGGATTGACAGTCTCCATTTGATGTAACAGTCTTGGTAAGAAAGTAGTTATTATCTTAAAGAAGCCTTAGGTTCCAAGACATAAAAAATGACTCACTGCTCTTCTATACAGAAATGCTAAAGTCAGGTATGCAGTGCTGGACTTGCAGCATTATGACACTTAAAATTAGCGTCCAATCTTACTCTGCTTCAGTAGAGCTTCCATCCACACCAGAAACAGGTGAAGAGAGAAGTAGGGTAGAGAATACTCTCCTTGGTACCAGTTTATGGCCATGGAAAAATCAAAGGAATCATCCTTGTCTTCTTTTTTCTCTCCCCTTTCTACCAATGGAAGACAGGAAAGGGAAAGTTATGGGCAAGGTTCACTTTCTAATCCCATGGAAGTTGGACATTTGTCTCTCTTCTTCTACTCTCCCTGTCTTTTCTGCCACCCATGGGTTGGCAAGAGATGTTGGAGGGATGGCTTTTTGGCACAATGACAGAGCTCTGATCAAAAGGCAGTTCCTAAAACCAGTAGCTAAGGCCTGTGACATTCTTCAGACTCATCAAATGATTTGTACAAACTGACCATCTGCCATTGTTTGTAATAACAGAGGTGAGAAAAACACACTTTTTGAAGGGCAGTGAAAAATAACAAAGTGAAGGTCACTTTGAAGTGGACAATGGGTAGCATGAGGATGTCATTATGAATATATTCCTCAAAAAAGATTAATGTGTTTCTTTTACTGAACTAGCAAGACATGCAAATGATTCCTCAGTTGTAGAAAGCAAATTAGCATAGAATGAACAGATTGCATTTTCTCTTTAATATTGCCAACATTATTTCAATGTACATTGACATTGTGGCTGGCATTGATTGATCTATCTATCTATATATCTCTATCTCTATCTCTCTATCTCTCTATCTCTCTATCTCTCTATCTCTCTATCTCTCTATCTCTATCTCTATCTCTATCTCTATCTCATCTATATCTCTATATCTCTATATCTCTATATATCTATATCATCTCAGTGGTGGGTTTCAATTTTTTTTAGAACCTCTTCTGTAGGTGTGGCTTTGTGGGAGTGGCTTGCTGGCCATGTGACCGGGTAGGAGTGGCTTGCCAGCCATGTGACCGGGTAGGAGTGGCTTGCCAGCCA